TTGTTAATTTTTTTTATTTAACTTTTGAATTTTTAAATCATATTAGCATTTTCTGATTTAATAAATATGTTGATCTGAATCAATCGGATTGAATTTATTTTTTTTTTGTTGGACATAATTTGTTAAATTAACTTTTTAATATTTTAATTATACTTAATAATTTTTGGTTTGATTTAAAAGCTGATGTGGACCAATTAAATCAAGTTTTTTCGTCCTAATCATACTTACATTTTTTATTTTATGAATATGCTGATGTGGACCAATCAGATCGACTTTTTTAATCCTATGTGGACACCCTCAATGCACTATGCCATCAATTTTTATATATTATTACTAGTGTTTTGTCTACGCTACGCGTGGATTGTATATTTATATTGTAGTTTTATAAAAGGTTATCAATTAATTTTGTGTTTAATATTGTGATAAATTATAGAGTAGTATATTTGCATGTGATTCTTAGATATAATCGAGCGAAGTAAGTATCAGAAGGATGTATATATATGTGAAAAGATGATCGAAAGTTTTGTATAATAATTTGAAAGTAGATTAATATACCTTTTGGCTTAGTCAAACTTTTTTTTAAGAGTTAATGCATGTTTTTGCAAATATGAAGGGTAAAGTTTGATATTTTTGTATAATAATTTGATTTGTAATTTTGTTATATTTTTTGTTTATGTAAATAGTATCCACATGAATTATATATGGACATCTTATGTTATAATGATATTTCTTTAGTGACACCATGAATATTTTTTTTATACTTTCAAAAATATTTTGCATAAGCTTCCCTTTCGCTTGATGCTTTTAAAAAGAAAAACTCAATCCTTACTCCATTTTTGTTTCATATTGTGTATTAGGATTTTATTTTTAATTTTCATATAGTATGCATTTCTCTACTTATCAATTTTTTTAAGATTCAGTATGTACATAGATGTTTTATAATTAGTTCATATATTCAACGAAGAAAACAAATGACAATTAATAATAATTTTTTTTTATTATATAAGTTCTTTATTGATTGATATAATATTTGTTTGATAGTTTAGCTAGCTCAATCATTTGCCAATATTGGTGAAGAGTGTGAAATTTATCGTTATATGTTATTTGAAAAAAAAATCTTTTCAGTTTTATGTTTCATGAAATTTTGCAAATAAAAAGTAAGAAACGGTGAGTAACTGTCTTTAATCACCGGTTCTTTAGTTAGGTTTTTACTTCAGTTTTTCTACAATATCGGATTACAACGAACAATATAGAACTCTATATCAGCTTTAGAAACTTGAAATCTGTTATCAGTCAAAAAGTTACAATTGTATAAATTAATTTTCTCTAGACGAAAGAAAACTGAGTCGCTCCTTAAGTTTTACTTTTGGCGAGAAAGACGTTCTCCAGTTCCAACAATACTATGATTCAGACTCATTCTACTTGATTCACATTATAAATATAAATGCAAAACAGTTGTGAGATTGTATTTTTATGTTTCTTACAACAATCTCAAGCATGAGACATATTAGACTTCATTTGTGATAGAGTTGTGTATTATTTATACCATATGTGGCTCATCGCTATGTCTTTTTTTTGACATCCTCATTGCTATGTCTTTTGGATTTCCAAATATTTATGCTCCATTTATTTAAGTTTTATTGTTTATCACCAGTTTGGTTGTCATTAATTAATAAGTAAAATTTGTGTTTAGTGACGGCTGATTCCGTTTCTGGTGAGTCAGAGACGAGATGATTGGAAACCGAGAAGACGATGACTCCATAAAATAAGCTTTATAATTGAGTTTTAGTGTAATTCGATTTCAGTTTTTTTTTTAGCTTTGTTTTTTATTGAGAATTTAAGAATTATAAAAACTTTTTTTAGGTAAAATTTGAAGAAATTTTGATTAATAATTATTTAATAAAATGGCTTTAAATTATTGGTTGGAGAAGATGACATATCAGTTTTGAAATCTACCATTGGTTAATTATTTTTGCTGATGTGGTATATTGTCTTATTCTTATTGGTTAGTTTTTTTGATAATTTAACGATGTGACAATTTGTTATATTCTTATTGACTGATTATTTTTGCCTATGTAGCACCTTTTAGAGAGCAGGAAACATATCCTTTTTATATAAAGGAGATGTTGTTTTAGGCATTACACATATTAAGATATTTTCCGTAACTGTTTCTTTTTATTTTTTAAGTATTTTTTTGTACTTTTTAATCCTATATTAATTATATCAAACACTTTATCTTTTTCCAAACTTTCCAAGTAAATGTTTTTGACTAATTTTTCTTGGAAAACAAAAAAACATTAATTACAAACTATAACGTCAGTAGATAACAAACAAAGAAAAAAACTAAAACCATATACTTTAAAAAAACAAAGGGAGTATATCCTGTAGATGTTCTTATACAGTAAAGCCTGTGCATTTTGCTTGCAGTGACAGTTTCACTTGCATATATGGGCAATTATCAGAGATAGAGTTAAAACCAGTTCAACAACAGTACCACGTGTATGATCCATTTTGTTGAAACATAGATTGCAAAAAAATATTATAATTACTTCATAAGGATAACAATTAGTTTATCTATTGATTTCTCAGTATCGTGTGAAGAATGTTATGGATTGTTAAGAAGGTTAGAAAGCTTATTTACTTCTCTAGAGTAATTAAGGCAGACTCTTATAGAGAGAAATCAAAAACAAACCAAAAAAACCGCCTCATTGCTTTGTATATTGTTTGTACCAGACATATATACTTTGAATTATTTAATTTAATTTTTTTTTCATTTTTTATTTTAAATAAAAAGAAAATAAATTATCAAACATATACATATGACTACAACTGAAGCACCTAATTATTGTTCTAATTAATTTAGATTTTTTTTCATTTCAATTATGAACGTGTAAATTTTTTTTTCACTAGCAGTCTTAAATACAAAAAAACAGTCAATATTTAAAACTCTTACAACTCAAAAGAACTATTGTTCATATAAATGAAAAAACATTTACATAATATACAAAATCACAATCATATTGATAAACCGTAATTTTGATTGGATCCCTGAAGCATTTGTAAGCTACAGAATTTGTACATCAATAAAGCAAATAATACATTTACAAATACAACTTTATATTAACTCATTCTATTAAACAAAGTATATCGCGTTTTTCAAAACTCAAAAGGTGTAAAAGATTCATTTGCATTTGGTTTGTAATTTAACTTATATATTTTTCTTACACCACACATATATTTTGATGATTCTTTATAATTGAATTAATAATATATATCATATTATTTTTAAAAGAGTTTCTAAATCCAAAAAAAAACAAATCATATTAGTTTTCTTACATGTTCAGTTTGTAAGGAATTTTTTTTTTGTTGATGTGGATGGTTAAGAATGTTTTTATGATATTTTCTTTTACATAAAAATATATATACTATTTTAAAATATAGGAATATAATATATTAATATTTAAAATAGAATTATGCTACTCTATTTTTCTGTAAATGTATTGCATATTTTTTTTAATAAGTAATGTACTAATAAAGTTTTATAAGTTTATTTTTATAGAGACAATATATAATTTTGTATCCACATATATAAAACACAGTTGTGTTAATTTATAAAAAAACAATTATTTATGTGTTATGTATATACTATGTATGTTTGTAAAAGACGAATGTTTTAGATTTTTCTAAATTGTGAATATATTCAGTTTTGTTTTAGAAATTACTATTTTGTAAATTTGTTTCTATTGATTATTATTTAAGTTTTTTTGGAGCAACTTTTTTTCTAAAATATTTTATATGTATTTCAAACAAACTAAATTGAGAGTTTTTATTATTGTGTGGACAAACTTCATATCTCATAATATTATATTTTATCAATTTTTAATTTAAACGTGTGATTATTAATAATTTAGGCTGTAAGAATTCAAAATATTAAACATATAACTAATTTTTCTTTTTGTTAAAATTAGGTTGTCATATATTTCTTAGTAGTACAATATATACAATTTAAATAAAGCAAGTAATACATATACAAATACAGTTTCATACTAAGTCATTCTATTAAACAAAGTATGTCGAGTTTCTCAAAACTCAAAATGTATAAAATTTTCATTTGCATGTGTTTGTAATTTAACTTAGATATTTTTCTTACACTACATATATATTTTGTGAAATTTTATAATTAAATTAATAATATATATTATATTATTTTTAAAAGAGTTTCTTAACCAAAACAAAACATATTAGCTAGATTTCCTTACATGTTGAGTTTGTAAAGAATTTCTTTTTTGTTGATGTAGATGGTTAGAAAAGTTTTTATGACATTTTCTTTTATATGAAATTATATAAACTATTTTTAAATATGGAAGTGTAATAGACTAATGTTTATTATAAAATTATGCTAAGTCTATTTTTACATACACATGACTATAACGATGATTCATACTATACTGCAATTAATTTAATTTATGCTTAAAAGTATTTAGCAAAAAAATATAGGAATAGTATTTACATAACCATACATATTTGATCTTTTAAAATTATTGTGTGGACGAACTTAATAAGTCATAATATTCTATCTTATCGATTTTAAACATGTGATTATTATTATATATATAATATACTTTTTTGTTAAAATTTAAACATGTGATTATTATTAATTTGGGTTGTAATAATTTAAAATATTATATATATAATATACTTTTTTGTTAAAATCAAGTTATATGTCATATATTTTGTTACTATTATTGTTGATTAAATACTATTTGATTTTAAGCATATTATTAATATATTAAAAATTATTTTTATTAGAATTTTGCTGATCTGATTGGTTTTAGGAGCCCCAAACTTCTCCCTTCATTTAGTATAGATACCTAGACATGTTTAAAACTGAAACGGTTAAAAGATAGGATCACAATTTTTTCATCCACAAGATTTGACATTCTGCTCTGAGATTACCAAAATTCGAAAACAAAATACCAAAACCAGTGGGACAATTACTAAGGGCTCATTTTACGCTTCTTGTTCTGCTCTATGATATCCGACACGGTCTTCTCTAAGGACATCACTTTCGCAGCAGAAGTAGCGGATTTTTCCTTCTCCTTGTTCAGTTCAGCTTTGAGATTCTTGATTTGTTCCTCGAGTTCTCGGACTCTAATACTATCATCAGCACTTGCTTTCTTCCTCTCCAAGGAAACCCCATCAAGCTTTGTCTTCAACCAGTCTAGCTTGAAGCCTGCTTCTGTTAGCTTGATCAACTCACTGCTAGCATTGCTTAGCTCAGTCTCAGATAAGCTATGTGGAGGTTTGTTCAATGCCTCGATGAGACCAGGTAAGACATTCATGTATGATGTCCTCACCTGTTGAATCTTTGGTTTGAAATTTGCTGTTATGTCCGGATGCTTCCTGAAAAGCTCACGCACTGAATCAACCTGTCGACACCAGAAAGATGTAATTATGCTAACCATGTCCAATCTCAGAAGAAAAAAAAATACAACCAGGAGCATCTCCATACGACCATACCCGAGGATAAAGAACTTGGAAAGCTTTGACATCTAAGGTCTCGTTCCCAGTTACTTCTGATTCATCAACTATTTTTAGTTCCACTTTAACTATCAGTTCGTTCTTCTCCACAAATCCTTTGTTTTGAAGCTTTTTAAGATGCAAGGCCTTTGGCTTACCCCATCCTGGGGCCTGGTCGCAGAACAATTTGCACCATAATTCTGTAAGATAAAAACAGAGATTAGTTTCAATTTTCTTGTTCGATAATCAAATACATATATACAGTTTACGTCTAACAAGTAAATTACCTTTTGTTTTGTAGAGCTCTTTGCCTGATTGATTCAACAGAACGAAGGAAAAACTAGCTCGTCTTTTCCATCCAACTCTCAATGATTCAGGATTCGCAACGCAGAGGTACAGTGCCAAGTGATCTTCAAACTCGTTTCCTTTGGGATAAACCTGAAGATACCTGGAAAAATGAAAGGAAACAGATTAACTAAACGCTTTAGTTGTAAACATAATAAGTTTATAACATAACCTAAAAGATTTGAGGAGTTAAAGAATTAAAACACAATCTATCTATTACTAATAAAAATTGATGCTAAATGTCTTTAAGGGTGTCCACATATGATATAAAGATTCAATTCTATTGGTACACATCATCATTATCTTTGGTTAATAATATATTGTATATTAAATTAATTAATTTCATTTTTTATTTTTAAAAAGACAATTTCCAATTTTTTAATTAATTTCATTTTTGTTGTTATTTGGAAATTTTCTAAATTTTAAATTAATTATTAATAAAAAAAGGTAAGAAAGTAGATCTTATTTTTCTATTTACAACAAAAAGTAATTTAACATATAAATAAATTATTAAGGAAAAATCATATATATTAAACAAGATAATTAAAAAATCTATTTAAGACAATCATAAAACTATTTCAAAATTTTAATTATGATAAACAATTATAATCTGAGCTACTAACTTAAAATATATTAGTTATGGTCCATGTTGATGTTTTATACTGATGAAGGCGTCTCCATAAAATATATAAACTCAATTTGATTGGCCAAAATCAGTGTTTTTTATTAAACATTAAAAATATTAAATATGATTAACAATTTAAATAAATTAAAAACACAAAAATATAAATTATCATAGTATAATGGGAAGTTAATATAAATTATCATATATATTTTAAATGAGTAATTAATTTAACAAAAATATTAAAGTTAAATTGTTATATAAACATATAAAATTACTATTTAAAACTATCAATACTACAAAAATAAATTCATGTTAAATTAACAAAAAAAGTCATCAAAAAATTTGATATATAGCCTAATTATTTAGAAAATCAACACAAAAAGCTTAACTAACCTAAACATAATATTTTATACTATTTACTGAAGATAAAAACATTTAACTAACAAAAAACAAAACAAAAAAACTATTTCTTACACCATGTCAATACAATGAAAATTAAAATTCATATCAAAAAGGTTAAATTAACAAAGAAAAAAAATAAATTAACTTGATATCTATGCTATTTATTTAACAAAATCAATATAAAGAAAATTAGTAAGAGAATAAAAAAACTTAACTAAAAAAAAGATAAATATTTAAGTTACTTATTTAAAAATCATTATTAAGAAATTAATTAATCAATAAATAAAACGAAAACTAATTTTTACAAAATTTTATATTTAAAAAATTCATCTAAAAAGAAATTGACTTGATATATGACTAACTACTTAAGAAATCAATATAAACAAAATTTAACTAGCAAAATAACAAAAAATAAAATCATGTCTTCAAAAATATCAATATTTTGTGTTAAAATAAAATAGAAATCAGTAACAAGAGAGGTAGATTATCAAATGCAAAATTCGTATAAATTAAAATTAGCTTGATATTTAGGCTAATATTTTGGAAAATCAACATAAAAATATGAACTAAAAAAACAATGATGGTGTATAGGCTTTTGAGATAAGTCCACATAAAATTTAGAATATCGAGTTATAGCATGTCAAAACAACATTATAATTAAAATACAAATTTAACAAAAAAATACTTATGTAAAAAAGATTAAATTAATATATATGCCACATATTTGGAAAATCAATAACAAAATAGCTTAATTAAAAATATATATGTTTTATGTATATCAAACATGCAAAAAATTATATAAATTAAAATAAAATATAAAATCACTATTAAAAGATATGTAAAATAACAAACAAACAAAATCCAAAAAGAAAATTAAATTGAAATTTAGTTCCAGAAAATTTATGATTTCTAAAATATTGGTATTCACTATGAGTAACCATATAAAATTACAGTATCAAAGGCAAAATTCGTATAAAGTATAGCTTGATATTTAGGCTAATGTTTTAGAAAATCATAATAAAAATATGACCTAAAAAACAATAATGGTTTAAGCTATTGAGATAAGTCCACATAAAATTTAGAATTTCGAGTTATAGCATGTCAAAACAACATTGATGTAAAAAAAAAAGCATGTCAAAACAACATTATAATTAAAATTAAAATTTAACAAAATAACACTTATGTAAAAAAATTAAATTAATATATATGCTACCTATTTGGAAAATCAATAACAAAATAGCTTAATTAAAAATATATATGTTTTAAGTATATAAAACATGCAAAAATATAAATTAAAATAAAATACAAAATTACTATTAAATGATATGTAAAATAACAAACAAACAAAATCTAAAAAGAAAATTAGTTTGAAATTTAGTTCCAGAAAATTTATGATTTCTAAAATATTGGTATTCACTATGAATAACCATATAAAATTACAGTATGTTATACGAGTTTCTAAATCAAATATATTATTTAAATTTACAAAGACTAATACTTTACGTCTGATTTAAAAACTAACAAAAAAAATATAACACAAGTAACTCTACATTCGAAATATAACAAGTAATAAAGTCTGATTTTTTTATACATAACTACTACTTATAACTTAGCCAACATGAACAGTACATGAGTAACACTTTCTAAAATTTTATTTAAATAATAATGTATGATAATGTTATGAATCAAATTCAAATTAGAATATATCTATATAAACTATTTAAATTAAAACGTGAATAAAACACACAAAAGATAAAAACAATGAAAATAATGTGAAGACTCCACACTATCTTACATGTTTTTTTAAAAAAAATTATCAAATAGTTAACTGCAAATAAAACAGATTTTATAAATTAAATAGAGATATAACATAAACTTCGTAGAAGATCTGATGGAGAAGCAGAAGAAGCTTTACACAACTATTGTAGCATCCTAACAAAAGTAAATCTGAATCAACGTGAATCATATATTATGTATGCATAGTTACACAACATCAGTGAGATATTTAATTAATAACTAAATATTTGAACATATAAAATTTTAAAGAAGAACAACTGTAGAAATCCTAAGGATACAAGATAAAATACCAACAGTTTAGTAAGAAAATCATTTTCTAAATCAAATATATGCACGTCGAAGTTGAATAATTCGTTAGGTGTCATTACTATGATTAGACTTAATAAGATTTTAAATTTTCTAAGCAAAAAATAGGAAAAACTACAGATTATGTTTTAAAATTTTTATATAAAAGAAAATTTCTATAAATATATTATAGTTTTAATAATTTAAAAGATATGAACCAAAAAAAAGAATGAAATCAAATCATTAATACAGACTCGCGCATAGCGCGAATTAAAAAACTAGTTACTAATAAAAGTTGATGTTAAATACTTCTAAGGGTGTCCACATCGGATTTAAAGATTCAATTTTATTGGTACACATCATCAATATTTTTAGTTAATTATATATTGTATATTAAAATTAATTAATTCGTTTTAGTTGTTATAAGGAAAATTTCTATATTTTAATTAATTTTTTTTTTGTTGTTATTAGGAAAGTTTTTAAAATTTAAGTTAGTTATTGATAAAAAAGAGTTCTAAACATAGATCTTATTTTTCTATTAACAATAAAAAGGTAAATTAACATATAAATAGATTATGAAAGAAAAATCATATATATTGAACAAAATTATTAAAACTGCATTTAAAATCATAATTAAATTCTTTTAAAAATTTAATCACGACAAACAATAAAATCTGAACTGCTAACTTCAAATATATTAGAGTTAGTCTGTGTTGATGTCTTAGGTCAATGAGAGCGTCCACATATGACATATATACTCAATCTGATTAGTCTATATCATCGTTTTTCATTAAACATAAAAGGTAAAAAATATGATTAATAATTTAAATAAATTAAAATATACAAAATTATAAAATTATCACAATATAATGGAAAATTAAGATAATTTTTTAACTAAATTAAATAAATTTATGTCAAAAGTCTAAATCTATTGTGAAAATAAAATGTAAGCTCATTGTCACAAAAACTAAACTAACAAAAACAAATATGTAAATCAATAACGAAAAAGTTAAATTAAAATTTTTTTAGCATATATATTTTAATGAGTAATTTATTTAGAAGAAATATTAATATTAAATTTTCATATAAATAGATAAAATTGTTATTTAAGAGTATCAATACTACCAAAAAAACATTCATCTTAAACTATCAAAAAAGAAAGTCATCTAAAACTTATAATTTTAGGGGAAATATATAAAAGAAATTAACATAAAAATCTTAACAAACCAAAAATGATACTTTATGCTAATTACTGAAGAAAACAATATAAAAAAAATGTTTAACTAACAAAAACCAAAACATAAATTATTTCTTACAACAAGTCAATACAATTAAAATGAAAGTCTATATCTAGAAAGTTAAATTAACAAAAAGGAGGATATTAACTTAATATCTATGTTATTTATTTAACAAAATCAATATAAACAGAATATGTAAGAGAATAAAAAACTTAAATAATACTAAAAACTTCACTAACAAAAATAATATAAATATTTAAGCTAATTATTTAAGAAATCAATATTAAAAAATTAATTAACTAAAAAACTAAAAACGAAAATTAAGTTTTACAAAATATTATTTTTTAAAAAAAACACTTAAAAATATATTGACTTGATATCTGAATAACTACTTAAAAAACTCATATAAAAATATTTAACTAACAAAAAATTTATGTCTTCAAAATATCAATATTTTAAAAACAATGCTGTGTTAAAATAAAATAAAAATCAATATCAAGAGAGGTAAATTATCAAAAGAAAAAGTCGTATAAAGTAAAATTAGCTTGATATTTAGGCTAACTACCAAATAAATATTAACTAAAAAAAGCAAGTGATGGTATAAACTTTTGAGAGAATTTCACTTAAAATTTAGAATAACCAGTTATAGCATGTCAAAATAGCATTTTAATTAATTCTAAAAGTAAATTTAACAAAAAAAAATCATTTATGTACAAGATATTAGATTAATATATATGCTACCTATTTGAAAAATC